GCTGACTCAGTGGAATCTCTCTTTCACTCTGATGGCGTTGGTGGACCTTGACTCTTACAGGTGTCATGCTGAAAAAAATGCTGCTGAAGCTGCGGCCCGCAATCGGCAAATTCTTCAACCGACAGCGTGCAACATTTGCCGACAAACATTCAAGGAAGTCTGAGAACACTGTGTTCATGCGTCAAACCTCCCCGTCCCGAACTAATGTCCCATAACAATGTGCAACTTTTTTCTTGCTGATGAGTCAATTCAGTTTACAACTGTACATATATTCCGTTTGTATCATACCTTTGAAGTCGGATTTTTTCAATTGAAAAACTCTCAATCTCGACCAGCATTGTCAAAACACAAAATTGAAACAAGACCAATACTGGCTGCAAAAGGAGGATTTTGTTAAACGTTTTTTCTTGTTTTAGGCTTTCCTGTTTTCGAGGTTTTGGAAGGCGCCCAAAAGGTGCTTTACCAACTGGCATAATAAACATATATATAACAAGCGGCACCACGCCTAACCGTAATACTCTAGTGAATGTTATAATACGCACTTAAAACTCTCTTCGCGAGAAAAGAGAAAGGAACTCCAGATCAACTCGTGGGGATTTATTTTGCATAATATCTTTTCTCTTCTTCCGATACAGATTAAATTAGTATTTTGTTTATTCGCATAACAGTTTTGAGGCCGCCCGTGCCTTACGCTGCTAACATTTCAAGTCATTTGTTCTTCCAAAGGCATACTTCTCCCAGGGAGAACGTGCAAGTCGTGGAAGTATTTGTGAAAACTAGTTGAGTTAATATAGTATGCATTATTTTAATGCCGGCAAATTTATATTTGCTGGTCGACTATAGTCATTGCCAAAGACGAATGCATTCGTCTTTTGCAATGAATGTCAAATATTTAACAAACATACAGACGCGATCAAAGTCCTAACGACTGGATGACGCTATGAGCCGTAATTGACAAGTTTACTCATAAATTTAATTTTGCTTGGCTACGGATCCATTTATGTCCTGTTGCAGCGAGTTTGTATGCTTGAAAAAGACCATTATTTCATCACGGGTTCCTGTAATTTCAACGGACTCTCACTCCAATTTCGCAAGCTGCTCTGCCATACAAACTCGAGTGATAATGGTCTCTCGGGAAAACAACTAAATG